TACTCCATGCTTCTGGTCGCCTGGTGCTCAGAAACCGAAAATGCACGAAAATTGTGATTTTTAATTTTGCGAGTTTGCCGGAAGTTTGTGTGTCGGTGCAGAAAGATGCTGCATATGCTGAGGGGCAAATTAGCTTCATATTCTAGTGGACTTTAAATACACTTTTTTCGAAATCCACTTAACCAATTTCGTAAATTCGACCACTGTAATTTGCCCTGTGATCCAGGGTATTACCTGGAGTTTCATTTTATATATTTAGATATAGCTTTCATTGCGTAAATGCAAAATGCTCAAGAGTAACTAGTGGATTTTAAACACAAGTTTCTTATAAGCTGATAAACGAATTTCAGCATTTCAACCAAAGGGGCTTTCCCCATGATCAGTGGCATTAACCTGAATTTTATTTCATAAATTTAGGTGAATCCTGTTAAGCAAATGCAGTTTGAACCAATTGTTGTCATTAGATTTTAATTGTTTTTGTTTTTTCAAAGATCAATCAGCCGATTTCAAAAATTTGTCCACAAGAATTTGCTCCGTCACTCAGGGAAAAGCTTTTTTCATCCGTATTACTGGAATTCGCTCCGAAAACTGTGGCCAGCCAGAAAAGTAGACCATACTTCGAGCAAATATATGTTGAGAGAAAAATTTGTATGGAAAGTTTATTAATATGTGGTTGCGTCACAAATTTACTTACCTCATAGAAGGAAGGTGGTATATAAGTCGATATGACTTCAGCCATTGGAAATGCGATGCCCATTACCACCAATAATTTGCCATACAATGCGGAGAAGAGTGTGGCCAAGGCATCACCACTGGAAGAGAGATAAAAATTTGTCTCTAAAATCATGAAAATAAATATTATTTAAGTTATTATAAATAGTAAGTAAAGCAATAATTTTGTTTTAGTTCTTTGTCAGAATGTGCTCCAACACCTTGGATATTGTTTGTTTTTGCGGTGTGTGTGTAAGTATAAAATAAAAACAATAGCTGCGGGTTTCAATTAAGTGACCTATCTGGTATTTATTCCTTAATTAGAAACTTTATTTGAAATTTTTGAAAAATATGTTTGCATCACAGGAAGCCGATATTATCTGTCGCTCCATTATTCACAATACACTCTCGCGTCGTTAGTAAGCTCTGCTTCTTAAGAGCTCTAAATCAAGTGCAAATCAAGGTTTTGCCTAAAGCAAGCGAAGATTAAACTCAAATTCATAAATTATGCATTAACCTCACTAATGTAATAAAGGTGGGCACACGAACTTACATATACATATACATATGTATGTAAAGGAGCAATGCTTAACCCCATTTCCAAAGCTCTCCGCTTCGGAAAATAATAGGAAACGTGCGGTTTATTTCGGTGAACACCTTTCCGCACTTAACCGCAGCATAACGAGCAACAACAGCAAACACTACCACAAACCAACTATTAATTGGCAGACGAAAACGGTATATGGGAGTAAGTGACAGTTACGACGCCACCGAGTGTTAAAGGAAGTTAATATGCCAAGCATGAGCTTTTATATACATACACGTATTTACGTCTATATGTAAGTCAAGTGTATTGTTCATCGAAGCAATATGCCGATGGTTAGTTACAGGTGCCTGTTAAGTGAAGAACACACACGAGTGATGAATTGATGGACAAGCGAAGAAAACAACAGGGATTTTCACGATGGATAATTAAACATATTGAAGCAAAATTCATGGGTAAATGGTTAAATAAAAGTGCATGTAGATAGTTCCATACATATTATGAATATAACTTAGACAAGGGCTGCCTTTGCTTTGTCGGGATTTGGCAACCATACCATAGTTTTTAAAGTTTTGATGTTATACAACTCGGAACTTTTGATATACGAGCGCTATGTTTTTGTTCACAGTTCACGGTTGTTCTCGACGAAATTTTTTCCAACAATTATCGATGTGGATTAACTCAGAAACAATGCATCAATGATTCCATTTTTGGTAATGAAACTCCATCAAGTGCCGGTGCTTAATGATGGTGTAAATTACTTCAATATTAATTTCGTGAAGGTCGTCCTAAATCAGTTATGGTTCTAGAAACTATTCACACTGAACGCAAATCGATTTTGCAAGATCGTCATGTGACCTCACCTCAGATTGAGGCAATCCCACACATTTGGTCAATCACTCAAAATCAGGGTCATGTCAATGGTCGAGACAAATGTTAGCAACATACGATAGCGGCCCTCCGAAACACGTCTGACATCATGACAGCACTAAACTGTATGGATATTTCCAGATGAGCTAAATCCAACAAAATCTGTTCGCGGTATAGCCGGGTTGATACTTAGCCCTAGCGTGTTACACCAGCCCTTTGCTAGACTTAAGCCCTTTTGAATGTCGCAGAGAGTGTAGCAACAGGTTGCAGAGTCTAAAAATGCAGTTTGTTTGGGACATAGGAAGTATTTAGTTTGACGGGAATAGAAATAAATCCTTTTAACCCCTAAAAAGTCAAACATGCCTCTCCTTTTCTGTTCCAGACATCAGATCGACCATAAATTTAAAATCGTAGAAAATTTTGTAAAACATAATTATTTAAAAAAAAATTAAGATACGAAATGAAAACGTTACAGACTTATTTTAACCACCATCGTACCATTAACACAAACATTCAAAGTAATATTACTCTGTCACAACTACTCGCTCACAACTACTTATACATTAACGTTACTAATTATCATCGAAAGTAAGAGCTAATGGCGAAAGAGAGCTGATGGCGTGTGTCTACAAAGCGGTGTTAACCAACGGCGGAACGCTGAAGCTCATTAAATAGCAGTCGACGACTAATCCTAAAACAACGTTGGATATCTTATATACTAGTACATATGTGTACTTGGAGGCTGTCGTAGATAATGACTCGTTAAAAGGAAAAAAGGAAAGATCAACAATGATGTAAATGTGCAGCGTGATGAGAGAAAACGTTGCATGTCGGGCTAAATGCTGGGACAGAGCGCAGTTGAAAATTTATTGCTAAGAGCAAAGGGTAGTGCGGATAAGCGCAAATAGAAATAAGTGATACACTATAAAAAAAATTTGTATTTGATATTAATTTTTAAGAAAAAACTAATAACAAAAGAATAACTAGTTAATTTTTGTAGTTTTAGTCGAAAACTTATATTTGCATGAATTTTAACTTTTTTGTCAAATATTTACCAAGTTAGTAAGAGGTAAATTTGTAAAGTAATGCTGAATGTATGGATGCCACACCAGCTGTTGCAAATGTAACAAGTAATATATTTCCTAAGAGGGCTTTGTCCGAAAATGTAATACGAATAAGTTATATATTCCATATGAATACACTATATTGTATATGTAACATATATAACTACTGAAACATGAAATCCATTTTGTAAAATAAGTCTTGAATAACCARCGTTCTTAGTTCACTCTTCCAACACCAGCTAACTCAAAAAAAACGCCATGGACCAAATTTTCATCTGTTTCTCCTGGGAATCGCTGACGAATCGCAACAAAATCGATCTATTTCTGAAGCGTATGCTTAATGATAATGAAAAGTGACTCAACAGGAGTTAACGACAACGTCAAGCGAAAGCATTAGTAATGGAATCCAAGCTAGAACTAAAGATCAGGAAAGATGTGATTGGGGCCTGTATTGCTAACAATTGGATCGTTTGAAAGATGAAAAATCCCAGAAACGGACAGTTTTAGACAATAAGAAAGGTGTTGCATTAGGGCGTGTAGTGACTCGCCAGTAGATACTGGCTCTCGGTTGGAAGGTTCTTATTCGTCCATCTCATAGTCCAGACCTAAATCCACGCTATTATTATCTGTTCCTGGTTAGGTTTTTTCATTTTTTGAAAATAAGGTGGAGAATTTTTAGGTGAATTTACATTACATTAAAAAAAACCATAACTAAACTAAACAAATCATTCAATTTACGTCAAAAATAATGGATTTCTTTCTACTAGACTTTTTGGTAAATTATGAGACCCAGCCTTCATTACTGGATAATATTCGACCGAATAGACCACGCCCAGCAAGCATTGCAGAAAATATAGCAGTCGTAGCTGACAGTGTAAATGAAGACCGTGTAGAGCCGATTCGGCGATGTTCGTAGCAACTCGAACTGACATATGGAATGACTTGGCACATTTTACGTGGAGACCTTAAATTGAAAGCGTACAAACTACAGCTTGTGCAAAAGCTAAGAGCCAAATTGTGTTTAACGATGAGTCTCATTTGTGACATGGGTAAGGAAATAAGCAAACTTTTCGTATTCGGGACGAAGAGCAACCTGTAGAGATTCAAGGGCACTCATTTCATCCACAATCGTATGTCGCACATCAGACTTCTTCCAGTGGGGATATGTGCAGTCTAAATTCTACGCGGAGCCATCAAAAATTGGACTCAACGGATATGTACCAACTGAGAAGTAGTGAAGTTTCTGTGGTTTTTCTTTAAAAAAAAAGGAGGGGACCTAGAAAAAGATTACAAGATTACAAATGATAATTAACCAATATACGCAAAATAATTACTGAGAAATATTTTTTCAAGGAATTTTGAACTTATGATGTACGGTGATTCAATTATCATTTGTGTGATTCGGTACATATTGTAGTAGTACTTAGAAAAAAGTTTACCGACCAGGTCAGGCCAAAGGGTTTCCAAATTTTCTAATATTTACTACGACTGCTATATTTTAGAACTGTAAATTTTTCTCTTATAATCTAGTATTTATATAGTTTAAAACATTTCTTCGCAATGTCAAACMACCTCAGGAAAGATTCACTCTTGTTTAATTTAAAAGGCGTGACTATTATTTAACCGCATAGTATTATACAATATAATAGTGCAGTTAAGTTTTGCCGTTTTAATAGAGGTAAATTTATAGGCAGCCTGCTACCATGCTGGAGAATTAGATGTATCAAATAAGATGAATGCTGCGCTTTACCGCAACGCACAACCAACCAAATGCACTTGCATATATACATACATATATAATACATATCTATATATAGAGGCAAGTGCGAATGTCAAAATAAAGTAATTTCCTGGTTGCAGTTGCAGCGCTTGAGACATTACGTTTCTAAACGCTTAATTAATGGTTCAATGTGTGTGTAACCATGCAGTTATGTGTGGATAATTGCAAGTTGCTGCCTCACCACAACTACTACCAGAAACAGAATGGCAATTATGCGCCGACCACAACGGCTAGAGTGTCTTTTCGTAGAGAGCAGGCATCCAATTTGTTAAACGTTGTGAGATAGCACTGATTGCACTTAGTAGAAATATGTATACAATAATATATTTTAAATTTGTGATATCGAGTTAAGTGAAAGTGTTTCAGACACTTAGCTGGGAGTGGTGAGTGCTATTTTTAGTGGAACGACAGTTTAAGCACGAGTATTATATAAAGCCAGTAACAATATCGGTGAACTTCATACTTGGGAAATATTGTCAATATTTGCTTTGTTTGCAAATTTTCTGTAATTTTCTTGGTCATAATTTTTGGAAGAAAAACCAACCTTTTCATTATATCGCTTAGCCCTCAAAATGGAGCAAATATAACTCGAACTGAGGTTACCTCAATAATTAATTCAACCCTTAAAATCCGTAGGACAACGAAAGTAACATATTATATTAACTTTAGCAAGTTTGAAAGATAATTATATGAATTTGGGCAAAATCGGTCCTCAATTATATTCAGTTCCAAAAATGAACATTTTTAATCCCGTCAGCAAAGATATCGGAACAAATAAAAAATAGTATTTCTTTAATTACTAAGACTAATATTAGAAAAAATTAGTAGGACTTTGTTCAAAAT